CCTGTGCCCCCGCCCTGCGGTGAGACTGGGAGCGCTGGGAGGCTCTGGGATGGACTGAGAGGGATTGAGGGGGCACTGGGAGAAACTGGGGAGGGACTGGGATGGACTGGGGGGGTGACTGGGGAGGGACTGGGATGGGGGGCACTGTGAAGGACTGGGAGGGACTTGTGGAGATTACTGGGGTGCACTGGTTCATGCTGGGATGCACTGGAAAGCTTACTGGAGTTTGTACTGGTCTGTACTGGGGCCGGGATTGGTGTGTTCTAGGGCACAGATTGGTTTGTGTTGGCTTGTGGAGTTATACTGGCTTATACTGGTTCATACTGGAGAGTGTTGTGTTGCGGAGGTTGCTGTTGTTGGTTTATACTGGTTGGTACTGGCCTGTACTGGTCGGAGCTGCAGGAGTGCTCTGGGATGTGTGCTGGGCTGCCCCGTGCTTTCTCCTGCCTGATAACTGGTTCATACTGGTTCCTGCTGTTCCATAGTGGTCTGTACTCGTTCCTACTGCTCCACACTGCTGTATACTGGTGCTTGCCATTCCATAGCGGTCCATACTGGTTTATACTGGTTGATACTGGGCAATGTGTCAATTGGGGGCGCACAGGGAGGGGGCCGCTGGTGTGCCCAGTTGTTTTGCTGGTCCATATTGGTTTTTATTGGTGTGTACTGGTAGTACTAGTTTGTACTGGTGTGCAGTGGCTTGTACTGGTTTTTACTGGCTCAGACTGGTTTATAGTGGCTGGGGGTAGATGCTGGTGGGGGTATTGCCTTGTAGTGGTTTGTACTGGTTTGTATTACTTCAGACTGGTTGATACTGGGCAGTGTGGGAATTGGGGGTGGATGCTGGAGGGTGTGCTCTGGTAGTCCATGTGGGCTTATACTGGTCTGTATTGGTTTGTACTGGTCTGCACTGGTCTAAACTGGTTTGCACTGGTTTGTACTGGTTGATGTTGGACAGAAAGTCAGAACTTTGGGGGGGTACTGGGTGGTTGCTGCCCTACAGTGGTCTCTAGGGGTTTAGTACTGGTCTGTACTGGTGCAGACTGGTTTATACTGGTGCAGACTGACTCGTACCGGTTGGTGTTGGCCAGAACGTCCCAACTGGGGGTGGACATTGTGGGGTGCACTGGGATGGGCATTGCCCTGTGTGGGTCAGTGGGGGTTTCTCTTGGTCAGTACTGGTTTGTACTGGTTACTGGTCTGTACTGGGCAGAGGCACGGGAGTGCGTGAACTGCGGGGCCACAGCAACGCCCCTGTGGCGCCGAGATGGCACCGGGCACTACCTGTGCAACGCCTGCGGGCTGTACCACCGGCTCAACGGGCACAACCGGCCCCTCATCCGCCCCAAGAAGCGCCTGGTGAGCTCAAAATCATCCCCAGGGACCCCTAAATCCACCTAGGGGACCCCCAAATTCCTCCAACCCCCTCCACACACACCTTAAATCCTCCTTTATTCTCCCCCAGCTATCCCTCCAAAATCCTCCCCAAACCTCCTCAAATTCCCCCAGACACCTCCTTACACCCCCAAAATTTCCTTTAGTCTCCTCCAAATTCCCCTCCTGACCCCCCAAACCCTCTTTAGTCCTCCCCAGCGCTCCCCAAATCCCCCTAAACCCTTCCTTACAACCTAAATCCTTTACTCCCTCCAAACCCCTTCTTCTGCCCCCAAAACCTCTCTAAATCCCCCTTAAACCACTCCTTACACTCCAAAACTCCTTCTAGTCACCCCCAAATCCACCTCTAGTCCCCCCAAATCCATCTTTATGCCCCCAAATCCCCCTTTAGTCACCCCCAGTCCCTCCCAAACTCCCATCCAGTCTACCCCAGACATCCCAAAATTCCCCAAGCCCCTTCTTGCACTTCCAAATACCCTTTTAGTCCCCCCAAACCCCTTCTTACACCCCCAAATTAAGCCCAAACCCTCTCCCCCCAATCCCATTTTAGCCCCCCCAGACCTCCTCTATTCCCTGCTCCCAACCCCAAATTTTCCCCTGACCCGTTTTCCGCAGCTGGTGAGCAAACGTGCCGGCACCGTGTGCAGCAACTGCCAGACCAGCACCACGACCCTGTGGCGCCGCAGCCCCCGCGGGGACCCTGTCTGCAACGCCTGCGGGCTCTACTACAAACTGCACTGGGTGAGGGTGCAGCGCCCCAGAATTGCCCCAGCACCACCCCACGACATCCAAAACCCCCAAACCTTCCCAGATTCTCAGCTCAGTGAGGGTAAGGGGGCCTGGGAGGGAATTCTTGAGGGTCCCCCAGGGCTCCATCACTGAAGGTGGGGGGGGGTGGGATCTGTGGTGGGGGTCCAGAGCTCTCCCCCGGGCTTT